AAAAAAAAAAAAAAAAAAAAAAAGCTTTCTTACTACAACAAGCAATGGAAGCCTTAAACTTTCCCCAGACATTCTCATGATTCTTACATAGAAAATCATCTTATAAGGTAACCCCCCATAAATATAAAAAATCCACTTACGGTTCTCTTCTCGACACATTCAGCAGCCACCACATTTTCATCTAGCAATCGACTGCAACACGAGCATTGTCATCTTTGTTCGTCCAGCTTTCTTCCACTCCACACTCCTTAATCGTGCGCTTGATAATACTACCCACAGCTTCTCTTTTAAAAACCGAGCAATACTTGCCAAACGTGTGCACGTTGACATAAAGTCGAAAATCAAGAGAAAACAAGAACTTCATTTCCAGTTTGTTCATTTCCGATGTGCTCACGCCTCCAACTTTCGCATAATATGCATTATTGAAGAAGCTAGCAAGGCACGAGATTTAGATTCATCGGAGGCAGATAACAAAGCAAGCATGGATAATTAATAGTTATACGAGCCGCCAAAAGTAATTATAAACACCCCATTGATATTTGTTCATGTTTTACAATTCACTGCTCGACAATTGCAAACCAGTTCACAATACACCTCAAACACATCAAGGGGAGCATTTGTAATCTTGCAACATTACTTTGATTCCTTTTCAAATTTTATCTTTTCATGTGAAGTGTTTGTTTTTGCAGTTTAGACCCTTTAAAATAATACCGTAAACATAAAAACAATGCTTTTAAACTAAATATTAAGCTAAATAAACAAATTTGCTTCAGCTAACTTACGAGTCGTCCATGAATTTTGCAGCCACCATCACACTAGTTATTAAAAGCCGATGAATATTGAGGGAAGTCATGAAAAAATTCGTCCTCTGAATAAATCTCTCCATATATATGTGTGCAATGACAAAGCACGATGGACTGCAGCAAGAATACTTGAAAATACGATCAATATACTGTTGAATGCTCACAGAAGGGGCTCTTAAACCATGAAAAACAGTAATGACATCTTTGATTTGTGAAGTCTCTAATAATCTCTCATTTTTCTGCACAGATTTTTCCAGTAATGTTCCAAGAAGAGACAAAATGTGGGGTTTTTTTCTTGGATTGTCCCTTCTCGAATCCTTTAACCCCAGCGCTGCATAGTCATTTGAGCATATGCTTTCGGTTGAAGTTTCCATTTTTGGGTACCAGTTGGAGCATATAATATCAATTCAAGAAAAAAGCTCGGTTTTCAGTGACTGCAATTAAATCATCCATATCTGTTAGCATATTAGTGTTATGAAATAATAATGCTAAATTACCGAGGAATAAATTTAGATCCCATTTGTCACGTAAAACAAAAATATAACACATGTATCGAAAACTTTACGTGGAGAAGCTTTCGAATCAAGAAGAAAACAAAGCGGAGAGCACAAAAATGGAATTTACGTGGAGAGCCCTTCGGATAGCAAACCAAGCATTAAATACCATAGTCTGGCCAAGTTTTCATTTTAAAATTCCTATGAATGGTGAGCACAATATGAGCATTTGGAGAGCAAACTAAGCATCCTTTGCACCCGAGACATGAATGAGTTGATATTCTAAAGATGGGAGCACGGCAGTATAGCCTTAATCGAAACAACTTGAAAGATACAGCTAATTAAAATCCCAAGAATGGACAATATTATGAAGTCTTCTATAATTATCTACCAAGACTTACATGTTTATTGCCCGAAAATCTACGATTATTATACACATGAAATCGAAACAAAAACTTGTTAAGCATCTGCTTCAGGTACAAAACGCTGAAAATCTGGCTGGTTTTCTACAGTCAGAACTCACAACTTCATTTCAGGCAACACAACTTCATTTCAGGCAACTAAGTTAGCTTAAAACCTCAAACCTGTCATTTTCACAGAATTTCACAAGCTGTATGTAAAACATGGGAAATGCTACGGTCCAGTTAGAGAACCATTCCATCGGGGTTTGTAACCGTTAGATCATCATGTAACCATCGGGAATAATTAATCTAACCGTTACGAATAGCTCACTAAAACAAGAAGATAACACAACATACGAAAGCTTACACTGTGCTCTTCACAGATCTGGTGCGCCTCTCTTCCAAATTTCGCACAATTTTGCAGAGCCCATCTCTCAAAATCCTTTCTTTTTTCTTTCTGATCCGAAGAGAAGGTTAAATATCACAGCTACAGCTACTTTTTTCAACAAACAAAAGCATATGTACTCAGACGAACACGCAAGAAATGTGATGATGCTTTTGTTCCCCCTTTAAAATTTGGGTGGCTTTTTTAGGTCACTTGACATGAAAGCAAAGCTGGTTGGTTGCTCCACTTTTGCTATGCTAGATTACATTATCTCGCTCTTCATTAAGATTCATTTTGTTTTAGTTCTGTAAATTTTTTGTATGTGTTCCATAATTGTTCGAAAATGGCAGTTACATAATGTGAATGTGATGCGTGTTTGGAGTTAGGCAGTGACAGTGTCGGTGGAAACTAATTAGATACCCATACTATCTAATTATTACGGAACTATTCGATCGAAATTTATAATCGTTAGATCATCATGTAATCGTTGTGGATAGTTAATATAACGATTACAAACCCCGACAGAATGATTCCGTAAAAAGGCAGTAGAATCTCCCCTAATTAATGCTTATACTTTAAATGTTTCAATTTATCTATTAATATATAATAAAGATTAAGATAATTCACTTTTAGAAATACTTTCCCGCCAATTTCATTAATTATTGTTTAAAAATAGTAAATCAACAAAATCTCTATTTATTAGCATATATTTTTTATCCAAATTTTTTTAGGAATACAATCAAAAATATGGAATCAAAATCAAAATAAATCTAAGAAATACACTTATCATACTTAATACACTTAATTTAAGAAATACACTTACCATACGTATTTTTAAAAATTTTTAGAATACAATATAAAATATTTAATTAATAATTGTCAATTAAAGATTTTTTTAAGAATCAATCATATTCTAATGATTGCTAGAAATAATTTATATATATATATATATATATATATATATATATATTAGTATTTACGTGAAAGTAACATATATGTTACTTACATGTTAACATATATGTTAACATATATGTTAATCCTATATAATAAGGATTAACATAAATCAAATTTAGAAACAATCTCCCGCTACTTTCATTAATTATCTTTTAAAAATAGTAAATCAGATTTTTTCTTTTTCTTTTTATTAATAACTTCAAACACTTTTATATTGGTAAACAATAAGGAATCAAAATCCGAATAAATCACCTATTTTTCCAAATAATTTGGAAATCCCAATGTAAATCCGAATAAATCATGATTTTAGAAATCGTGATTTCTAAACAATTTGGAAATCCGTATAAATCTCCAAGGAAAATCATGATTTGTATATATCATGATTTTAGAAATCTGTTCAAAAATTTTTTTGCATAAATCTGAATCATAATTCATTCAGCCTATTATTATATTATTAAATTATTTGAAACCGCATGCTAAGATTTGTATATATTAGATTTCTAAAATCATGATTTGTATATATCATCTTTTCACTAATTAGACTTTTTTCTTCATTATCGATTTGAAAAGGAAAACGAATTTATATACCTTATCGGTTTTGACAATACAATGCTATAATCATTATCATTATTTATTTTAAAAGATAGTTTTGTCATTTATTTGATTTCAAACGATGAAAAAAATTTCATAATTTAGGTCTCTTTTTATTTATGCATTTACACAAATTAATTTAAAACCTCTAATAACGATTGACAACAAAATTTGTTATATATTCATTCAAACCAACTAATTAATAAAAGAGTTCATCAATCACGAAATTAAAAAATAACACACGATCACTACATTTCAAAGATTAAGTTTTTTATATAAACATTCATTTATATTGTCATGACGATAAACAAGAGTGAGTGTCAATCTTATAAATTTGATTATTTCAACTGCTATATTTCCAATGGTTTTTTTTACCGTAGGAATTTCCGTTGGAATATGCAAATTCCGTTGGAATTTCTATTTCCGCCCCGTTGAAAAATCCATCGTTGGAATCGTCAAAGTCCAATGAAAATTTCAATTGAAAATTCATTCCAACGGAATATTTTTGTTGGAATTTCCGTTGGAATCCATTGAAAATTTCTAACGGAAATAATAGTATTGAAATATCCGTTGGAATTGTCGTTGGAATAATTTCTTTTGGAATAGATTTCCATTGGAATTTTATCATTTTATTGTAGTGTGCCCAATAATCAAACTAATAATGTTGTTTACAATTAAGTTTTTAATAACATATGATTTTTTCATACCCGAACATTTTATTAGCATTTTCCGCTCAAAATATTAATTTCCTACTATAGATGGAAATAATATAAAATGATCTAAATAAAATATAAATCATTTTTTTTCCCGAAACGATAGAGAATTATATAAATCAAAATGCACAAGCATGCAAATTACAACTTAGAGCCGCAGCCAAAAGCTGAATAAACTGGGAGGACTGGTCCGAAGACCGCCTAAATCCGACGCTAGCAACGCTAGAAACCCAAAACAAAACTCAAACAAAAACTACCAAATAAACTACGAAGCTCCCAACAGGAGAATCAACTAGCTCCCACCAGGAGAATCAACTAACTCCCAACAGAAGAATCAACTAGCTCCCAATAGGAGAATCATCACTGAGGCCAACGGCCCAAACCAAAAACACGAGACCTAACGAGACAAAACGAAAGAGACACTCCAAATCACAGGGCCTAACACCCAAACCGAAAAAACAAACCAGAAACAAACAAACACAGACAAACTAGCAAACAAAGCCTACAAACAAAACAAAACATCCCCTTCCTAAGCACCAAAATAAAGCTTAGCCGGTGGATACCGAAATGACCCAGAATGAGTCCCACAGCCAAAGAGAACCGACCCGAAACTTCCCAAACACCTACTCGGTGGCCTAACGAAGTCAGCCCTAGCCCCGGAACAACATCCGAAATCAAACTCGAACCGCAACCTCAACACCCGTAATGCCTCAGGACCACCATGAGACTGGACCCCCTAACACCACTAGCGAGTCCAATCACCACCAGTAAACCCCCGAACCACGAAGATGCCGAGACTGCAGCCACGTCCCCTGCCACCCGAAACCGTCACAATCCACCATCCCCACAGCCCCACCTCTGCCATCACCACTGGCCGAAGGAAAGGAGAAGGAGAGGGTAGGAACGCAGCGGAGCTCCGGCCATCCGGCCAACCGAAACCGCCGAACAACCGAGGCATCAACCACCCGAACGAATCTGCCACCAAAATCCTCCGACCACCACAGTCCCTATACAGGTCGAAGAAGAACACGGGGGTCTTCCTCAAACCCACCACCGGAGGAACTTGAAGAAGCCAAGAACTCAACAGAGATCCGAACACCCACATCCAGCCGACGCCCATCATGAAGCCGGAAGAAGCCCGCGGGCCGGCAACAAGCCTAGACCCGAACAAAAGAAAGAGAGGGCATACCTGGAAGCTGCCGACGGAGGCGCGTGGAGCAGGGTGGAGACCAGGCGGCTGGGGGACGACCCCCGATTAGAGCTCAATTGCTGCAAAGGAAGGCTATCGGCGTTGGAGAAGAGAGTGACGAGCGGCGGCTAGGGTTTGTGTTTGTTTTAGTAAATTCTTAGTTTTCTTTAATTACGTTGATAGTGATTTTGTAGGCAAAGATTATGTAAATAATTATATGTAGCCGATTTTGGAACTCTTATTTATCAAGGATTCTTTTTTAT